GATTTCTGTTCAGAAACCACAGAGGACAGAAGACAGTGGAACAGTATTTCTCAAGTGTTGGAAGACAAGTCAACCCAGAATTCTATATCCAGCAAAACTATGTCAGGAGTGAGACAGACAAAGCAATACTCTCAGGTCATGGAAAACTAAAATAATTCGTTGCCAGCAGGCCTGTTCTAAAACAAATGCTAAACAAAGTTCTCAATGCTGAAGGAAAATATACCAGGGGAAAACCTGGGACTTGAGGAATGAAAAGCTCTGGACATGGTAAAACCCCAGAAAATATAAAATATACTAGTTTTTTCTTCTTTAGTTCTTTCAAACATATAACATTATTGAAACAAAGATCAAAATCTTATTTGGTAGGGTTTTCAATACATGCAGATTAGTATATATGATAATTATAATGTAGGTGGGGAAGGCTAAAGCAATATATATGATCGTAAGGCTTCTACATTTTCGATGAAGTGATAGAATGTTACTGCTAAACACACTGAAAGAGTAGGCCTGTGCACTGGAAAGCTGACAGCAACCACTAAAATATATTACAAAGAAAAAAGCCAAAAACAAATAGATAAATTAAACAGAATACTAAAAATTATCCTGAATTGCAGCTACAGCTCAATCTATAAATAATTTAGAAAAATAATATGAAGAGTAGTCCTATTTCATTCCTCTGTATCGAAGCAGTTTTGTGTTACACTGTTGCATACAAATAATACTAAATTTTCCTAAACTGCTTCTCTGGCTCAGCCTTCCATGTTACGAAGACCCATATTCTCCTAAACTTTCATCATTAGTCATAATAAGTATGATTATTAAGTGAAGAGAGTTGCCTGAAGGCAGAGAAACTGAGTCTTCTTACTGGTTCCTTAGCATCTTGAACATGTCTGATTAACTACCAGGGTTCAAAGGGAATGAATGAATGAACGAACGGATACTCCTTGCCTGACTGCCTGAAGACTGCCTGACTGCAGAAGTGAAAGCATGACAGGAATAACACGCTCATCCTAAGGTGAAGTCACACCGATGGTACCAGACAAGAGGGTCAGTGTGGCGCTAACAACCACAATAATTAATTTCGAGTAGCCCCCTTGGGCATTCACACTGGATCACTACAGCGCTCAAAGGATTTTTAGGGTTTGCTTTCAGGGTCTTCACTGAGGTCTGCTGAAAATGTCAAATGAGACCACATCTTCATAGCTTAACGTGAACAATATTTCTCTCTTCTAGAATCACCCCGAGCCATGCTTTAACAATGAATCAAGTCTGTGACCAGGTGCCTCTGGCTGATTTTAGGGCCCAAGTGAATCAGAGGATCAAAATCTCATAGATGACTAGGGCCGTAGCAGTCTCCTGTCTACGAATTCTTTTGTAACATTCTTACTAGTTCCTTTATTAATTAATGAGTTAAATAAAATTTTTAATACAGTCTTTTATAATATTTACACAAATTATGATTTTGGGGGGGGAAGTTATCCTGTAAACATGTCTTTTTAAGGGGTAACAAAAATCACTTGTTCACTTTTTGTCCCATATGATTTCCATACAAAGGAACATGAGCACATGTACTAATGGTTGATAACTTGCAGAGAAAACAGTAAACAATCTCAAGCCACAGTGTGCTAGAATTTTTTTACAATCAAATATTCTTATCCTCTTAAAAAAGAAAACTCATTATCTCCATGAAGACCTCAGGCATGTCTGACATACTAAAATATGGCCCTCACTGGGATGCACATATATGTTAAAACCAATACTGGCTGGCAGCCGCTTGAGTTACCTTGTGGAAAAGGATCTATTCTAGTGTCAAGAGAGAAAGTACAGTAAGTCGTCAGTGTCATCCAGAGATTTGGTGACTTTATACAACACAACATAAAATGGAACCAATTCTACCACAGGCTGATGATATGAACAAGACTTAAGTTCCTGTGGTTATCTCATCGATGTAAAATGTGACGATGAATGCAATGATGTTACTTCAGGACCTGATGTATGAACACTGCAGAAGACATTATATGTTACTTTCATTCCTAACATACGATTTTAACTTTTCCTTGAGCTTTCTAAGAAAGTTAGCTTCATGGTGGTCCCCTCTTTGTCCTTCCGATGAGGACACTGCAATGACTCCTTCACTTTAGAGTCCAGAATGAAACTGGCCACTCCCACCTTACTGCTCCTCCCCATGAATGGTAACATTACAGCCATTCACATTTTCCTCTTTGTTTTTACACACACGGTCACCATGTCAGGGTTCAAAGGTATCCTGGACCTGGAACAGTGCTTTCTCTGCAGAGAAAAGTGCTACACGAAGTGTTTCTAGATAACTAAACTGGTAGTGGGATTTGAATCATTCATTCAAGTAAGCAATTTAACACAGAAATCCCCCAGGATCAGTTATTTTTGAAAAAAACTTCATTAACGTTTAATAAAATGTATGTATTTAAAATACTGAATAAACTCAGTGCTCCACAAGAATATCAAAAGAAAATTTGTATCTCTAAAACAAGCCAAAGTAACTTTTAATCTGATAGGCTAGTGGCTTATACAGGTCAACTCTCTGAGGCCAGAGTAGTATAGTTTAAGTTTCTTTTGTAAGGTAAATGTGAGATGAATTCCAAATTCCTGAATGATAAAACCTTAAACTGGAGTAGATCTTAATATTTATAATAGTCATCACATTTTACAGACAAGGAAACAGAAACCCAAAGAAATGAACTGGCTAAGATCACACTCCTAATTAATGGCAGGACCAATATTAAAATACTACTAAAGGTTTCTGCTCCCTAGTTTAGTCATCTTTCTACTGTATAGTAATAGTAAAAGCAATAGCAGCAGACATCTATGAGGGCCTACTATTTGCTGGATTCAATGATAAGTACTTTCATGAATTATCTCTTTTCCATTTCACAGTCGCCCTGTGAGAGAGGTAGACACCTTGTAAGTGACAGAGTCGGGACTGGAACCCAGGTTTGTCTTACTACCAAGAGAAGCTGTGCTGTGTGGTCACACACAAATTCACCAGCGAAACATCTGCACACTCTGGAGCGGGACCACGGAGGCCGACCGAGAGAACTGCAGGTTCACATTCTTCTCTCCACTTCAGGGATCCAGACAGACTGTGAGGCCAGACTCCAGAGTGCAGCAAATCTTGGCTTTGAATTTTAGCTCTGTTCATTGCTATGTCTGTGATCTTGGACAAAGTACGTAACTTTTCTAACTTTAGTTCTCTCACCTGTAAGATGGGAATGGAACATTTCCCATACAGTTGTGGTAGAAATTAGCTGAGAGAATGCACTTAAAGCAGTTGGTAAAGTGCCTGGCACAGATTGTGTACTCAGTAAATGCTAGTTGCATTTTTTTAGGATATTCTAACTACTTGCTTTCTGATGAATTTCTCCACACTGCTAATTGCACTTTTAAGAAACATGCTAATTTATATGGGTAACTATTTGCATAGTGTAAATGTCCAAGCAGATGCTTTTTGTGTAAGAAAAGGCACCCACAAGAACACTGTGCAAAGGATGCTCCTTAGATACCCTGTAAGCCTTTCTCCTCCCCCATGTAATTCCCTATGCTGAGTGTGGTCTATAACCTTCTAAGATTCATCTGCCTAAATTGGGTTCCATGTTGGTGTACACAAAAGGATTTTTTTTTTTTACACAGAAAGTACATCATTTTTTGACCTAGGAACTGATTCAAATAACATCAACAACCTCAGCAGCACTCCTGCCTCCAGTGCCCCTGCAATACCTGTTACATTGTAGGCACTCAGTAAAGGAGAACACATTTGAGTCAGGGAGGCGGTGGTTGCTGGTAAATGTTTAACTGGCCCTCAGAGTAGGAAAGCTGCTTGATAGCATTTCCCAATATCTGTGACATGAATACTCTCACTATGACTGATCTAAACTACCAGTGGTTTCACAACTGTCTTTAAATGTTCCTAAAATTTAAAAAACTGGCTCTTGCAAGTCAGTGTGAGCCAGTTCATGCACCAGTGACAAGAGGGCCAACAGGCAGTCTAGGAGGTAACCCTAGGTTACTCCACCCCACCACTAGCCAGCTGCCCTTTCTAAAGCAGCGGACCTGCCATGCACATCCATGTACATCCGCAAGAGCAAAGGCTCCCTTGGCCTTACTCCTTGGCTGAATCCTGACCCTCACACCTGCTGTCTACTCTCCAGGAGCCAGCTTTGTAAGATGGTTCTCCCTAATGCCAAGAACAAACAAGCCTATTTTCAGATGGGACGAATTCTCCAAGTGCCTCACTGCTGCCTTCCATCTGCTACATGGGACCACCCAATAGCAGTGAAATGCTGAGTTAGACTGAGCTTGCTAGCACCGCCCCCAGTCTTTCTAGCCACGGCCACATGTCTAACTCTACATTAGCCCTTGTTACTTAACAGCCACTATGTCTTAAATCTGAACCCCTGATCACTTTCCAAGTGTCAACAAGCAACAAGCTTCATAGTTCAATATAATTATCGTAATATATTAGGATGTTTTCTGGTTAAAAGAGCTAGTTGGCCAACACTACTAATAAATGTGTTGTAGATGTATACAATCTTTAAATTATCTAATTTTACTAATAAACCTTCTCAAACATATTTACTATTAAGCTGTTATAACAAGATGATGAGATAAAAAGTACCTATAGGCTATTAATATGAACTAAAGCTTTGTTTCCCAATCACTGAAAACTGTTAAGCATTTCTACAGCTTTGAAAGAGACACGTTTCACTTAGGTCCTGAAGAGAAAAAAAATGAACATTCAGAGGCAAGGTAAGAACATGAAGGCTAACCCTTGGTACATTTCAAACACTGACTTAAACATGATTCAGCTGTGGGACATGAACTTTATAAATTTCCATATTCTGTAGAGAAAAGAAGCCTTATCTAGTCTGCTAGCTCTTTTCTGTTTGCACAAATCTTGAAACTGGGAATAGAACTTAATATGTAAGAGCAGTTATTAGCACTCCAGTGAAGCTGAAGGCTCTTACCTGTACATTTGTAATCAGACGCTACCCCTTTAAGCACAGCATCGAAAATGGTCATTTCCACTCGCTGCTTTCGGTGGTGACAACTCAGAAGCAAAGAAGGCTGGGAGACAATAAGGTATAAAAACGGTTCGAGCTGCAAATCACCAGTTCCTCTGCGTCCAGGCTGCCGAACGATAGTTATGCCAAGTGCCTGTCTAGCAGATGACCTTGTGGTTGCATGAAGACTTTCAAGAGAGATGGCCCCTAGTTTTTTCCCAGAAGGAAAAGACAGACTGCTGCTGAAGAGATCTTCGGCTGTCACTGTGGAAATACACGCCTCGCTAGCTTTAGCAACACCTGAATCATCTTCTGGGGGATTTAATGAACTCTTGCCTGTTTTTTCATTATCGCTCTGTTCTTGTAATTTGGATTTTGGTAAGGCTGTGCAGGAATAAGTCATGAGTGAGATTCTACTTGCAGTAATAAATATGTCAAAAGGAATGAAATTTAGATTTTTTACAATTGATGACTGGCGTGAGGGGCGGGCGATGCGATGCTGGCTGGTGCCGCTGTGCTGCTCTATTTGCACGATTCTGATTTTGACACTGTCACTGCCGATCCCACTGTCCTGAGCTCCACTGCACCGAGATGAGGTGTCGGCCACGCTTCCGTCAAGTGTGTCCATTTTTTTCTGTTCTTGCTTAGAGATCTGAAAGGAAAAACAAGACAATATTTTAAACTGGTTATAGTCCAAGTGCTATTATATAAAGGACGTCATGTCAACATGTTAAAAAATGGTAGTATAGTGTAACTTGTAACAGAGTAATCATTAAAACAAACAAGATGCCCATTCATAAAAATTATTCATATTAAAACACCAAGGGATACTTGAGAAAAAGTATCAAAAGTACATTTCTAACATTAAATTATACTCTTGAGTATCAGATTTTCTTTCTTTGGACTAATAAAAATGCCTCTTTAAGAAATTAGTATTCTTTCCAAGTAGTACAATAAACTGCTTCCAAATCGTGATTACTATTGGCTGAAATTATATTTTAGGTCAGAGTAGTTTACATTGTTAACCCTTGTCATTATAACACTAATTTATAGTTTTTGGATAGTAAGAAAAAGAGGAGAACATTATGAAAGACAAAGAAAAGTAACATGTATGCCATTCAAAATGTTTCTTTTCCTCTACGGTATGATTTGAAACAGTGGTAAATGTAAGTGATCAAGTAAAATGTAAGCCATTAATGCCCTTGAAAGAAGAACTTCTCTTTGTGCACAAAAGGACACTCATTCTCACCAACTCCCACCAGCAGCGTCCCACGTAGAAAGCAGAAACTGGGTGATGGTGAAGTTACGATCACTGTGGGCGCACAGCTCCAAGTCCTTCTGCTGGTTCTTTGTTCCACTCTCTTAGGTCTCCCACCCATAGATGTTTCAGTTGCTTTTTCACTGAAGTAACCGTGGAAAATTCGAGAAAAAACCCAGATCCTCCCAACCTCCATCTCATCACGAAACATAACCAATGGTAACATTTAGTGCATTTGATTTCAGTTTTTTTTGCCCTACCTGGGCAAAGGTTCCTCCCACATCACCCTTTGATGGTTATAATCATACTTTAGAGACAAATATGTAAACCAGTGTTTTTCCATGCTAATATACTCTTCATAAATGCTATTTTAAAAAGCTGCACAGTATTTCATTTAGTGTTAGAAACAAGTTGTTTAACCATTCTCATATAACTGGACATTCAAGTTTTCAATTTTTGACAACCAACATCTATGACAAACATCTATCAATACTGTCTTAAGGTAGGCTCCTAGAAGTGGAATTAGTAGGTAAACGGTATGAAAAAGTTCAAGATTACTGAAAGTTCAAGGTGTTGGGGGGCCAACACCTTTCAAAAAACTTTGCACTAAATAGTATTACTATCAACAATGGAAAAATAACCCCCAAAGCCCTGAGTGTTACTTATCTTTTTTAAGGCCCTTCCTTTACTGTATTGGTAAATATAATATCATTTTCAACATGCTACACATTATTTGAATTTGCTTGTGAAATGTTAAAGGTCTGTTAAATAAATCAAGACAACATGCCCTGACCAGTGCAGCTCAACTGGTTGGGTGTCGTCCCTGAAGTGAGAGGTCACACACACCTGGGCTGTTGTGGGTTTGGTCCCCAGTCGGGTGTGTACAAGAGGCAATGGATGGATGTTTCTCTCTCACACCGACGTTTCTCACCCTTCATTTCTCCCTCCCTTCCCTTCTCTCTAAAAATAAATAAATGAAATCTTTAAAGATACAGATTGTAGTTAGAAAAAGGTAGTATAAGCTATTTGAAACAAAAGCAACTCCCTCCCCAGTTCTGTGGAGACACCACATTCTTTAGGGCATTCTACCGATACAGGGCTGTGTGGCGTCCGGAGCGCCCCTTCTGAGCTTGCTGGGGGTAGCTATCTGTGGGTACTCAGAATAAATGACACTGTCTGAGAACGGTTCTCTCACTCTTTTCCTTCTTGGTGATGCTACTTGACTAATACTTCTACTTTAGGATGTATTTTCTCTCAAAACGTTCTGTGGTGGCAGTATCAGACCATGTTAAAACAACCTATAGACTTTGGAGTTACATGGTCAAGCCCAACACTTTCCCAAGGGATGAGTTCAGACAAATACAAACCTCTCTAAGGCAACATAACCTCATCTGTAAAATGAGGCTACTAAATCCTATCTCAAAGGGTTGGTATGAGGCTTCAGTGACCTAAAGTACTTGAAGAGGTCAGCACAGTGCCTGGCATGTAGTGAATACCCGCACATGGGCAGCTGCTATGCTTCTGTCTCTTCTACTAGGGAAGGATGCTCAATGGACTGGGCCATACACTTTCACTTCTGGGTATCACTAAGAGCCTAGTGCAGTGCCTGGCACACTGCAGAGAGGATCCATATGTCTCATGAAATGCGAGTTTCTGATAAAATATTAAATAAAAAAACTTTGCTGCAGACTAGAAATCAATGATTGTTAACATGTAAATACATATGTGCGCAGATTTCCCCACATGCTGGGCTCTGTCAGTAAGGCCTTTCCAGACATATTCACGGGCTCTTTCCTGACCCACATCCTCCACCTGGTGGGCTGATCACACTTCAAACAACCATCTCAGCCTCTGCTGGGTCCTCCCCCTCACACTGAGGACATGAACACCCAACCGCAGAGGTGCTACAACCTTAAATGAGTCAATGTATTGAACACACACAGTAGGCACTCAGTAAAGGGTCTGTTAAAAAAATGAGTCACTTTCTTTGTGAAGACTTCCTTAATCCTTCCAGATGATGCTTGTCTCTCTAGTGTCTAAGCTTTTACTTATTATAAGCTAATATTATCACAGCACTTTTTATACAGTGTTTTGTCTAAGAGAGCATGAGCAATGAAAGATAAAAATAGAATACCAGAGTATATTTATTATTTGCTAAATGTTGTTAGCACATTACATACATTTTCTTCCCTAAGTGTTACAACCCTTTAAAGGGGCTACGGTTATCCCTGTTTTACAGCTGAGGAAACTGAGCCTTAAGAAATTATCAAAAAATCTACAGGAAGATATCGAGTGGGCCAGGGGTAAGAGGGAATGCACTAGTATTCTTAGCACACACCATAATGCTTGTTGCACAGTAAAGCTGAATAACTGTGTTGACGGAATACATGATAAACATGTTTAATTTAAAAATCTGGTAAAGTAAAACTTGAGGCAACTAGCAAAATGACAGCTTAATTTTAAAGCTTTTAGTTACCCCTATTATAAAAATTTGAAATACACCTCCAAATCAATAGCCAATGAAGAATTCTCAGATAATATGTGAAAAAAATAATAAAATCAAGTCCATAAGTAGTTTAGGATTTATTTCCCACGTTTTAAAATGTCACAAACCAAACATCTGTATACAGCATAACTGAAAATTTCCTTTAGGGTTAGCTCTATGGCAAACTCAAAATAAGAACTCAACAATTTTTATTCTCTCAATCAGAAAAGGCAACCATAATTCACTACATGAGATTAGGTAGTATTTGCTATGAGTATATTTTCTTCTCATTTACAGATTTTATTTAAAATCTATTCTCTCCTTCTTTAAAGTGAATTAAGAGTTCCCCATCCGTGGTAACACGACAAAATCAGCCACTGGCAGGCGAAGATGAACATGCAGCGTCCAGCCCTGCTCCGTACTGAGATGGCCACACTGGGCTTTAGCGCACGTCCAGTGTCCCAATCCTGAGATATAAATAACCAGCGGGAGCAAGATGGCAGCTATCAGCCCGGGTCGCACAGGTTACTGAACAGAAGTCAGGTGGTGACTAATTCTAGTCACTACTGAGCAGACTGGAATTTGAACCAGTGACCTGAGATGAAAGACTCAGACTCTTATGGGGGGGTGGGGTGGGGGGGGTTGGGGGGGGAGGTACAGATTTCCCAGTACTAGAGAACTAAAATTTTTAAACTAGGTTAAAAGCCAAGATGTCCTCCATTTTTCTAAGGTCCCACAACTGAAATGAATCAGTGGGTGAATTTTGAGACATTTAAAAATCCAATAGTTTATTACCAGTCTACTGCAGATTTATCTGTTGTATTGAAGAGTGTCTGGCCTGCTAGTGAGAAAAGTTTTATAATTAATTTTGTGTGCTAAACCCTAAACCTGAGCATCAATTTACTATCCCTTTGTGGAAAGAGGAAAGTTCACAATGCAGTAACTCTGAAAATAACTTTTGTTATTGTCCAATGGGACGAATAATTTAAGTTGTCAAAAATAGCAATGCCGACTTACAGTTAGTGGATGCAGCAGAAACATGAATCTCTGGGCAGTGCTGTTACATCAGCTCTCCCACTCTTTACCTAACTCATTTAAAGTGAACAATAAAAGTTTTCTTTAATTAGCTACTGGTGTGCATTAACATGATCATGATTAAACCATAAAAACCAACTGTACATTACTCTGGTCCCCTCTTCCATATGTTTTGAATTATCCTGTTTGAAAATGTACTTTGCGTCCCTTTTAAAAGTTCGACCTTCTGCTTTCAGAGAATTAAATGCATATTACTGTAGTGAAGAAGATAATGTTTCAGACCTCCAGGCATATATTAAACACACTGGCAGCACTTGAGACAAAATGCTTTACTTATTAGATACTTCCTATTCTAAACAGTGTCATCAAAGGCTAAAAACAAAATCCATATAAAAGCTGCACAATGCTTCCACACAGAACCTGTGCCAAAATCCCTGTACTTTCCAACTAATGAGGAAAGGATGTGTACTCTTAACATATGAATGTAAGATTTTCCAAGCATTCACTTTAGGAAACTGGGCTATTGATTCCATATGCGTTATGTTAAATGAAACTGTATTGGTAAAATAACCTTTAAGATATCTGGCATGATAACTATAATTAAACAATATTCAAAAGACTAAAACAAAAGGGAATTTGGTTCCACAATGGCTAATTAAAATAAAATGAAAAAACAGAGCATGTCATCTCTCAAGATAAATTGTTATTGTTCAAGAACTATTTAAATACTGTTAAAATATACTTTTAGATAAAATCTGAAAGAGCTGGAAAAATATTTGTGGCTTAAAAATGGATAGTTTGGTGAAGAAAAAAAGTACAGGACTCCGAAATTTTATGCGGAGATAACAGCTTTAAAGCCTTGAGCACTACCAGA